TATATACAAGAATAGAGGGCGCGTAGAAAACACTAGAGTTGCCACGAACAGACACGATTCTTCTAGAATCTTATGACGTGTTACTAGCGTCTCGTGACTTCCTCTGGCGTAACAACATTAATCATCCGTAGCGACATGTGACTTTTATGTGAATAAAGGAACATTATATATGTATATGATACTCAAATAGTTTTTAAAAGAAACACAAATATACAAAAGTATTCAGCATATAAGTTAAATAAACTATGTACAGTAATTGAAGATTAAATTAACACAAATAACATTCAAAACTGCATCAGAGAAGTGAGACATTTTAGAGATCAGACAGAACACAATTAGAAGATATCTTATTCCAATGTAGGTTGGAAATTTAATTAATTATTTAAAAATTTTCCAATGAATTAAAAAACAAATCAGGATGGTTACCTTGCAGATCAATATTAAATTTATTGAGTTTCTCCAACTTTTTCCTTTCGGCTTTTGTTAAAGCTAGGCCTTCGAACAACAAATCCACGCTACCTTGCCGAACTCCTACAAAAAACAAAAAACCTCCTTTACTTGTCACCAAAGGTAGATGATGTCTACCTAATTGTAATAAACCACGTTCTATTTTTCCTCTTTACGAATAACACTCATGTCAAACCTTTTTCGCATAAATCTCGTTCAAAGCTCATGAAAGGCTTTGAAATGTTATTGCGAACATCTGAATTTTATAATTAGCAATTTCATTAAAATCTTCCTCGTAAAGTTGCAAAACATAGAATTTTAGACCGCCATAAATATTTTACTGAATTAAAAAAATACAATAAAAAATTGCACTTCGTTCTTTTCCAAAGAAGAACACGGAATGCACGAATGCAAAACCTATTAACAACAAAGCTATCGAGATTCCAATAATGATGCTTTTCGAATACATTTAACTTTCAGAATGTATTTTTATAATTAATAGCAACTTAAATCAGAAATACGGAAACATTATTAGGTGCTTTTTTTTAGTGTATTTAATGAATACCATAATAATAAAACTTATTAACGCAGCTAGGGAGAATTTAAATTAAAGTTCTATGTTCTTTGTTCATTCACAAGAATGCCAATACTGGTGAAAGGAAGAACCAAAATGTATTCTTAAAAGCGAACAAATTACGAATTTATGCAAAAGGCATATGAACAGTTCAGAATTACTCCTCAAACGAACTTCCAATTCACTTTTGGGTGCTTGCACACGTTTACACAACGTTTCATTGAGATATCACAACTTTAGCCTAACTATTCGAAAAGCAGCATCAACCCCAGCTATAAATATAGGCACATTTTATCTATATTTTTTAAACATTATTTAAGAGTCATCCATAATGCTTTTTACTTCTAGACAATTTCCTTATAATTCTATCAACATCTGCTTTAGATATCGTTAGCATAACAGTTGGTTCACAGAAATCATTACTTCCATACAACATAACTTACCTGGAATTGCTTTGATTAGTTTATTTGGCATAGCAGGGGATAAAGGCACTACTGCCTTTTTTTGGTTTTCTAGTTGGGCTGGAACACTTGGTGAAAATGGAAGATGTTTATTATTAGGTACGACCAGTCCGCCGGTGGTGGCTCCACTGTAGGGTATGTTGTTCCCTTGAGTATCCAAACTACTAGATAACTCTGTGTTTTGACTTGAAACGTTTAAAAGGCTATCAATACTGCTGGCTTTCCGAACAGTAATGGCTCCTTTTTTCCTATTGGCAAAAATTATAGTTGTTATTTTCTATTGGTAGTTGAACAAAAATTACCAAGAATTTTTCTTCGTGCTACCGTTTAGAAAAAAAAAAGCATTTTTATAATTTCTAAGATATACAAATAGAAATGTTTTAGCAATTCCAGATACATAAAATAACACATGAACGATTTCATTCAAAGGCGTTTTTAACAAATAGAGGTATAAATATAACTATTATATTTTGAACATTTTGTTGTAAAAATAAATATTGAGTGTCATCATTATTAGAAGTAGTAATAATACGTAATTTTATCATTTATCAGTTGAGAAGTACGTGTTAACAGTAATCCACCTCAACAGAGTTGAAACAGTTTTAATGCGAGATGTTGTCACAAAAATACGATATATATTATTTCAAAAAGGCTTACATGCAATAATTATATGTTTGATTTATTTCTTAAATTCGCGTAAGGCTACACAAAGTCTATCTATGATAGTTGTCCTTAATTTTGAACTGATTGATTCGTTATATTGGCCCGCTAGTCAACAGCACCAACTGTCAATTTATGAGTTACTTTAATCGAATATAGCGGGATTTGACCGTAACTCTTATAATGTATCTATAGCCCCATAGCGTGTACGAGTTCATGTTTTCGTCAATACGACGCGAACCATATATCCTAATTAGTCCAGCACGGGAATCACTAGGCCAGTGGTTCTCAAACTTTTTCATCCAGGAACCACTTCGGAGGGACAAAAGACCCTGCGGACCACGTACCGATTTCGATTTCCACCCCCGCTCCCAAAACAAAACAAAATTATCAGAATTAGTGGGGAAAATGGCGCTGCTTTTGATGAGACTTCTGTTTTGGACCAGCCCTCGGACCACCTGGAGGACTCTTTCGGATCATCAGTGGTCCGGCGACCAAACTTGAAGAACAACTTCACTAAACTACGCACGGTCCATACTTATTTATATATTAATTTCTATATCTCAGAGGATAATGAGGACAAATGTTGCACAAAAATCCAGCCTTCAGTTGGTTATGATGCGATGAAATTTTCTGACGTAACTTTGCATGTTTCTCGTTAAGGCTCGTTTGTTCGTTTGAAATTAAGCACAAAGCTACACAATGGGCTATCTGTGCTTTGCCCACCACGGGTATCGAAACCCGGATTCTAGCGTTGTAAGTCCGCAGATATACCGCTGTGCCACTGGGGGGCACCTCGTTAAGACAAATTAAAAAAAAATGTCAAAAGTAATAATTTTCAGGACAGAATAAAAATAACTAACTTCTAAGTTGTTTTTTTTAATAGACCTAAAAGTAACATCTATCACAAGAGATTTTATATTAGAATAGATACTAAGGTTAAGTATAACACAGGATGTTTGCCACAATAACGACATAAAGTTTATACGGGCATTGGATCTTCTAGGAAGAAGTAACTATAAAACGGAGCTCAACCTTAATAAGTACATAGGGTTTATCTTATCCCACATGAATAATTTATATATGATTAATGCAATGGTTAGCGCCCAGTTTTGAGCGGTGCCGCCAAAATAACATGTTTAGCAACCATATATTTGTTTCATGACAAAGTCCTATTTGACAAGATATGTCGCCACGGATAAACTTACTGATGGGGGGAAATATAGTGGAGTCATTTATTAGATGAACAAAAAACCTCTGGCATATAAATTTCAAAGTTAACTGTCCATAACCTAGTGAATAGCATCAACAAATGAGTACAATCATATAATAACGTAAACCAACCTAACTGATGTTACCTTTGCCAAAATATCAACATTAATTGTTCAGGACAAAATGAAATAAACACCCAGAAAGAGGCTGTTTACAAGATGTATATATATCTCAATGAACAGTGTACAAAAAATGCAGTCTTGGTCAAAATATTCGCCTTGTGTTCTGTATTGATGTTACTATCTACATACATGGAGTAGTTATTAAGTAAATGCCCGAATAGAAACAAAGAAGGTAGCATATTATCTGACCAACATGTACGAGTTGTTATTCTGGCCTGTATAAGTTGTATTGGGCATTTGTTCGCCAAAAAACACATACATACCTGTTTTATATAAAACTGTGTGCTTTTGGTATAATCTTTTTCGAAACAGATCAACGCTTTGTTCAGACAATTTCTCTGTACCTGATGTAGAGTCACGTTCAAAAGTTATAGGGCGTCAAATTGGTTGACTGTCCAGAAATGATATGAAACAAATTGACATTGCCAGAACAGTAGGGTACCCCAGTATACTGTAACCAGAATCCTAAAACATCGTCGGACTACAGGAAACGTTGTTCCAGAAAAGTCTACTGGTAGACACCGACAAACTATTGCCCGAGATGACCATGTTTTGATCAGGTTAACACCTTGATCGCAACACCTTACGATAGGAATGGAATGAACACATTCATTTCAGGATATCCAGAAAAATAATGAACAGAAGATTGAACAAACAAAGTTTTTTGCAACAAGAGCTATCTGCAAACCAATATTAACCAGAATTCACCGCTGTCACCATGTTACTTGGGCAAGACAACATGCCAACTTACAGTTAGGACACTGGCGACATTTCGTCTTTTCAAATTAGTCCTGTTTCCGGCTAGTTAAAGCTTATAGTAGGATTCGTGTTCGTCGTTTGTCTGGAGAATACGTGATGGAATACTTTCTTTCCCACAGGAGGTAGTGTAGTACATGTTTGGGCAGTTATTCATCATGGTGGAAAAATTGCTTTTCATATCCTCAAGGTAAACGTCAATGGCGCCTCCTACAGGCATCACATGGAGACGATATTTCTGCCATATGCTTGGGCAAGGTTTGGCAATAACTTTGTATTCAAGCATGACAATGCCATTTTCCACAGTGTGCATATTGTACAGGATTATCTCGACCAGCAGATCGTTACAAGATTGCCATGACCAGCAAAATATTCGGATTGTGATCCCATTGAGAACTGTTGGGCATAATTGAGCTGGAAAATTTCTGATCACGACCCTAAATCAGCTACTGTAGCTGAGTTGCAGCGCCTTCTAGTGACAAGTTGGGATGAAATCATGGTGGATTACATCATTATCCTCATCGAAAGCATGTCACGTCACCTTGCGGATGCTATTAGAGTACGAGGAGGACCAACCAAGTACTGAATGTTTAATATGAACTGATATAATGTTACAGAGACTATTTATAATAATTTGATGTTATATTCTGTCATTATACATGTTTTTGTAAGGTTTTGTTGTGACAGGTGCAATGCTGAATTACACATCTTTCTATAGTGTCTGATAAAATTGTTTGCTGTTCTAGTAAATCGTTCATGATGCCCATAGAACCTGTCTAGTTATATAAATTACATATGTAGATGTTTAATATAACATGCATTTCTCAGTTTGACAGTACTAAGTGTATTTGTATTTCATCTTAATAATAATGATCTTATTTGTTACAAAATATGCAAAATTTTGGCCAAGAATGTTTTTCAGAAAGATCTTCCCATTGTAAAAATGTTTAACTCACAAGTGCACAAGCACATTAACGAGAGAAAGACGAACTGCAGAATAATGTACGAAGAACACATTGCACGTGAGAGATGGAAGATTGTTGCAAAAAAGGACCAGACATGGATGTACTTAAATTACTGTTAAAAGAAGCGGGTGGTTTTCTATTAGTGACGAGATGATAAAAATATTTTAGTGTGGTATCAAAATCATAAATCTTTTCGTCAGATTTTATGGTTACTGTATGTTTCTCACATAATGCGAAATATAGACTCTATAAATTGCACGATAAAGTTAAATTCTAGTTTATACCTAAAGAAAGTACTAATACCAATAATGAATATGAATTTCCTGCACTGTATATGGCCAGGGTGCTAAGAAGGTATTGTTAGCGTTAAGTCACATATCCAAGTCAACAACAGCGTGTCTATGAACCATGGAAGATGTCACCACTGTTCATACCATTCACATTCTCTAACACACTTCTTGAGTTACCTGACAACATTCATGGATTTCTGGGCGTTTAATTCGCTCAATCGTTGTCTTGGAATCTAAAGTCCACATACGATAGAGAGTCTGTAGGAAGTTTATAAAGATGTAAGGTGTAATATTGACTTTGGTGTCCTTTGCAGAAACTTTATACATTGGAAATTGCGATGGTGGGCAATTGTGCATAAAACTGACCACTAGAATTTAATATACAGTCATAATAGATGTTTCCTGTCTTCTTTAGTTAGTAATGTGAACACTTAAAATTCGGTTGAAAGTTTTAGAATGGCTAAGTTCTTTTCGTCCTAGTTAACTTTCTTTCTGAGTCATTCTTCTATAGTATCAAATGATCTTTCTCGTGGGGAGACCGCTATAAAATAGAACATATTACGTAAAGATAGACAATCTACTGACGAGTACATTATCATGTACTTTTCTATTCGAACGGCTAAGATTAATGTAGGCAGTGCATGCACCCTGAGAGGGACGACATTATAGAATTTTGTATATAATGCTATGCTCTCTCTTTCTCGAGCTTCCTTTATTTCTTCTCAAGTAAATAAAATCTCAGTTCTATGTTTAACAAGTAAAATTAACTAGCCTCTTAACAAGTTCTTATTGTCCAGTTGTATGGTGAAAAATGGTGCATAATCAGTTAATAGCATGAAACTGGGCATGATGGAAGGTATGGTAGTATTAATCATTTTCCGTTATAAAGTCAGCTGAATTTCACCCAAGATGGCCGTCATTATATTTAAAAATAAGCAGGACTATGGTTCAAATTTGCTAATTTTGGTTCAAAAGCAAGGAACATGGCATGGTGGTCGGTAAATTAGAGCTTGATAGTTTTGGATATATTGTCAGTTGGATGTCGTCCTAAAGTGGTCAAACGATGGTCATCAAACCCAAGATGGCCGCTATAGGAAAGGCTCAAAAAACGCAGTCAAATATGTGTATAAAAAAGTGAATTTTAGATTAAAAACTTGAAGAAGCGTATTGCAAACAAACATTTTCAGAAGTAGAGCAACTTTAATTAGATATAAAATGGTCGCCACATCTAAAATGACTACCAAGAAAGTTTCTAAAAGTTTTTAAGGGCAATCAAGAATATATTCTAACAAGATATTGAAACTTAGTTATAACGTATTTAACTATGTACTTCAAATGAAATTTAGAACATGTAGATATGCTTTAAACTAATGCAGTTCCAATCAACTTAAAACATCATTGATATATCGATAAAATAAATGAAAATTGATGATTTATAACAGAAGAATCAAGCCAATACTATCAAAAGAAAATAATTTACTTACGCCTGTGGAGAAGTGTTTGTATTTTCTGTGGTTTTGTCTTTGGAGGTTAATAAACGAGCCAGCTTTGTAAAGCCAACACGTGTTAATGGAGTTCCAGATGATTCATATCTAAAAATAAAAATATATATAATTCCTGAGAAAGATCTAGCGTGAACGACAGATTGATTTCTTAATATATCGTAATTTCTTACAACGTTATACACGAATCTTATTTTTGAAATCTAAATAGTCAAATTCACGTCAATCTTTGCTTCAGAACCTTTAGTTCAAGACATACGTGGTCTTGTTTGATAACATAAGTAAATACGTCATGCAGTTGAGTATTTGCCAAAGCTATGTTTTAGATGAAAATATATTTTTACATTAACAACTAAAAGGATTTACGATTTATATAAATGAGACGAAAATCAATATTTAATATTTTGGTAATTATCAAATATTAACAAGTTTACCTATCTAACAATAAAAAGAGAAAAATATATATAATTAGTCTCGTACATCACCTTTCAATCGCCCACCAGAGGGCATTAACTATGCAAATAAACTCTACACTATTCTTCGTAACTGGCAAGAACTACCCTTCAATCGCCCAACAGAGGGCATTAACTATTCAAATAAACTCTACAGTATTCTTCGTTACTAGCAAGAACTACCCTTCAATCGCCCAACAGAGGGCATTAACTATTCAAATAAACTCTATACCATTCTTCGTAACTAGCAAGAACTACCCTTCAATCGCCCAACAGAGGGCATTAACTATTCAAATAAACTCTATACCATTCTTCGTAACTAGCAAGAACTACCCTTCAATCGCCCAACAGAGGGCATTAACAATTCCAATAAACTCTACACCATTCGTCTTAACTAGCAAGAACTACCCTTCTCTGTGCATTCCAGAACTAGGTTACAAAAAGTTTCTTTTGGTGAAAATTGTGCCGTGAGAATTAACAATACATATGACACTTGTGCTATAGGAACTAACAATACTTGTTTGCTAAAATCCGGGGTTCGATTTCCCACGGTGGACACAGCAGATAGCCCAATGTGGCTTTGCTCTAAAACAAACACAAACAACAATACTTGTGCTGTGAGAACTAACAATACGTATGACACTTATTGTATGGGAACTAACAATACGTATAGCACTTATTGTATGGGAACTAACAATACGTATGACACTTATTGTATGGAAACTAACAATACGTATAGCACTTATTGTATGGGAACTAACAATACGCATGACACTTATTGTATGGAAACTAACAATACGTATGACACTTATTGTATGGGAACTAACAATACGTATGACACTTACTGTATGGGAACTAACAATACTTGTGCTATGGGAACTTACTAGTAAACTTAGTTCTTTCTGCTTTCAATACGAACTCTATGTGACAAAAACTTATTAGTAAATTTAGATCTCTCTGATTTCAGCACAAACAGTGTATTTTAGAAACATACAAGTAAACTTAGTACTCTGTTTCCAAAAGTAAAACTGTGTCGTTTAAACTTGTTAATATACTTAGTTCTCTGCTTTGAACAGTGAGCTTGTGTCGTCGAAAGTTACTAGTAAACACATGCATAGTTCTCCTTTCTTTTAATACCACAACCGTGTCATTTAAACTTACTAGTAAGATTAGGTATCTCTGCTTTAAAGACCAACCCTGTTTATTAGAAGTTTATACAAGTAAATATATATCTTTGCTTTTAATACAAAAACCGTGAAGTATACGTTACTGGTAAACTTAACCCTCTCTGGTTTCAATTCCACAACTATGTTTCTATCTCATCAAGAAATATATCTGTAGTAAATCTTAAATTACTATTAAACTTACTTCTGCTTGCTTGCAGCACCGTAATGATGTCTTGGGGAAACAGGTGAAACACTTAAAGATCTGGAAGAAGATGAGTTCCTGTCGTCTTCTAAAACCAGCAAATTTAGGCCTGCATAATAAAGATAGAAAAGGACACAAGGTTGTCAAAATTTTATGATAGTATCAAACTTAATCCAGAGCTATTAAAGTGTTGATGAAGATACAAAACCAAAAAGGGCTTTTCTTCACATTTCTCAAACATGTACAAATATCCCTAATTTGTACTACGTTTTTTAGATTTCTGGAAAATAAAAGAGATATAAAAATTGTTACTTATCATTAAGATAATGTGGGCGTATAGTTCAATTCCGCCACGTACTGAATTAGTACCTCTGTGTTTGAAAAAAAAATATACAGAACAACACTGAAATATGCTTTTAAATAGAAATAGCGTATATCCACACTCCATGTAAATACTGAACACCATCTAACGTATCACAGCTTTACAGATTCATTCGTCTATCTTATATGTAGATTTTATCTCCTACGTTCCTAGTTGCAACAATAAAGTAGCTTCATGTAAGTTTAATATCTGCTTCGTTTGTGTGAGTTGAACAAAGCGGTAAATGTTGAAGCATTGAATTCCATCAGTCTTAAGACAATTTAAATTAATTTTGACGATGTTCATACTTGTAGTTACAGGTTACAAGTTGTTAAACGTTAAGTGTTTTTTTATTAGTTCGCCGTCAGTAAATCGTAATCAGTACCCAATGACAAAATAAACAGGAACAAAAATACTTTTCTAGTAACCGCCTATCTTATGGTTTTGTTCTTACGAGACCTACATCTTAAGTTTCCTAATTGGCGAAGTTAATTTCGTGTGGTTACAACTGTCTGACATTTTTGATCTTTATATATAACTACAATCAAGATCTCGAACACTCTGCGCTCTAGTTTCCTTTCTAATGAAACTCACTTCGTGTCGATTGATATATGACTTGATTAAATTCCACACAGTCGGAAGACTAGCAAATCAAGCTTCCTATTTATTGGAGTTCAATTCATGACATGTGGTACAAAGATCGTACTTTGTAAGTTTTGTTTAAGACAAAAGCGCTACATAACAAGACATTTAATGCCTTACATTGAGTTACCGATAGAGTGAAATTGTTTACGTTGTATAATACAGTGGTCTATTGTGCACGACAGTTACCAAATAATTAATTCTTCCTTAAATTAAAATCTATCTTTGGGGAGTTTGTTGTTAAGTTCAAAGCTACACAGTGCTCTATCCACTGTGGGTATCAAAACCCAGTTATTAGCGTTATATGCCCTCATACATGCCACTGAACCACAGGGGAGAACATTTTTGATGAGATTAATTTCATGTGATACAATAGCGTGTAAGCTTTTTAGAAAATAATTTCAAAGCAAAAAACTTGAGTTTTTAAGTAATCTCAAACTCAGATTTGTTTTGTTTTGGTTGTTGTTCTTTTGCAAGAGCCATCCGTGGTTTTCTAAAATTCGGAGTTCGGTCCTTGTGGTGGGCATAGCGCAAATAACCACTTACACAGCTGATGAAATTTATTTTGTGTGATACAGTTGGACTGATACATAGAGCCTGGACATAATAAAAAGCACATAACCTGTGTCTTGTTGTAAGTATCGCAATCCTTTCCGAGTGGCTATAAAACACCTGAAGCCAAAAGATACATTTCAAAGGAGAGACTCTTCAATGGTTTCTTAGAAAGAGAACTATCTTGCACAGTACAGCGTTTCAGGCTACTGAAGCTCCGGAACTACATTCCACGCCAATCCAAATAAATGCTTTCGTTCGCAAAGTGAAAGCTATGGTTAAAAAAGATAACCATCCGACCTAAAAAACATTGTGATGAGGCTAAGCATATTTCCTGGTGTCTTTAATAATATAATAAATAAAGATTTGAAGGCTCACATGGAAACATTCACAAGCTTTCAGCCACACGGATGTTGTCGTGAGAAAAACTGAAACACTTCGAACCGATTCACTTATGAACCCATACAGTCTCAGAGTGCACTTTCAATAGATCATTGTACCTTTGTATGCTGAAACGTGGTCTTAGAAAGAAGTATACCTAAACGTACAGTGAGAGGTATGTGGAAAGTTTTCAAGACAGGAACTTAATAGAATACAAATTGTGGTGTCAGTCAGTATTCTGTAATCGTGACCACCAGAGTCAGCAAATTCACTCTGGAGGAAATAATTTCAAGGGCAGCATGGAATCTGGAACCCATATCTGTTGTATCCCAGCCGAACTAGCGAGCTCTGATATTGGGCGAAAAGTCTTGTCGGCAGAGGATATGACAGATGTAACGTGATTCGCGTATTATAACATATTCGTTGATGTGGTTGCTTGACCCGCTCTGGGAACAAGACTAGCTTGCTGGTTCTCCTGAGTGACAGTAAAGTTAATTCATATAAAATAATAATAGGTAAATAATTAGTGCTGAAAATGAAATAGATAATATTATGTTATTAATCCTTGCTCTAAACATCTGATTTGTAAATGACTTAAATAAAGTTGATAATAAGTACAACCCAATTACTTGGCCTAGTTCACACCATAACAGTCGCTGTTCATAAAAATTGATGACATAACACCTAGTCCAATACTATGTCAGTTGTATCAATACTTAACACATTTCTGTATAGAAGCATAATGGTTAGAAATAAATGACCCAACACAACGATAATAATATCTTTATATATCTCTCATTTCGGGTCGCAATGAGAAAAAATTAAGAAAAATGTGAATGAAAATACACGCAGCTAATCTGTTTTTATAAGTATTAGTAGTGTATCAGCAGAATTGTTAGAATGCAAATACTGAAAGCTGCGATTTTGTTCAGAGTTCCTTTGAAGCACGTTCTTAATTAGATTTAATATAGGGTTTCCATATTTCGAAATCATTCACTCTAAAAATCTGTGTTTATTATTGTGTATAATTTCGTGAGTAAATTATCAACGTATCATATATATACACACAAGACTAAACGAAAACATGTAACATTTTAATAGAGCTACAAACAGTATGATGAAAGAAAAGGTTATTCAAATAATTCAGTATGGCTTACTGTGGGTAACCGTGTAGTCAAGGGTTAAACCTCTGTTAAACGTAGCTCTACGACTTCTTGATAGATTTTCACACATCAACATTTTGTTTACTTCTCGATGTACAATATCTTCAGATTGCGATCTTTCTAAATAAGGTTTTCGCCATAAACTCAGACGATATCCAACTTCTTGTAACGGTTTCTTCATCGGAATATTATTTACTAAGGCTGACTGTGCACGAGGCAATGGATGCATTTCATACTTTCATCTAAGGAGAGTTCACCAATGTCGTTAGGTTCATGATAGGCTTGATAAACTGATCTGTTAAATACTTGTTTCGTATATATTTATATGCTAACCGCGCAACAGTACGTTTGATAAAGACGTCATTTCTGACGAGGGTCCCGGCGCGTTTCCATGGGGATGAAAGGAATCCGCAAACATCAGATACACTACAATAGACTCGTGCACTCAAATTTTAGAAAAAAAGGTGTGATTCCAAATCAAGGGATTAAGCTGACGGTATATCAGCCCCAGGAATTTCTTAGCAAACTTAAGAGTGAGCAAGCACTTTCTGCTCGTGTAATCCTAAGATTGAATGTTGATAAATTTGTGTGTGTGTAAAAAGCTCATTTATTGTATATTCACAAGAATAAAACAACTTTTAAAGATAACCACAGTCTTTACACAGTATTTGATTTGGTTTATAAAATACAAAGTCACAAAAGAAAGCATGTCTCAAAGTTCTCTTTAGATTCAACAAGTAGAATTAGAGACGATTGTTTAACACTTAAAAGGGATTTATTTCAGCCCGCAATGTTTCAGAGTTATTCAACAAATAAAATATATAAGGTAAACGACTAGACTTGTTTTACGAACAAGAATAATGAACATACGAGCAGAAATCAAGTTGTAACATGCTCTTATCGATCCACCTCTTACATGTTTGAAGTATATTGTATTTGATGTAACTCTATCTGACTCACAGCTATTAAATGATACAGAACTGATCCACGCACATTCGCTCATATAGGTTAAAGATTTGACCCCCGTCACATTGAAGTGCTGAGTCATTGCTATTTACTGATACAAACTGCATCAAACTAGTCAATGATATACGTTGAGGTATTGAGTCGCCGCTGTGAAATTATAATGTTAAAATGCCGAATCACGCTTCATTAGCTTGGACAAAGAAAACGAACACATTTGTGGACCAACTAAAATTATTACATGAAGCTAATGGCTATATTAATAGACACCGCTGTGTGTAGTGAACATCCAAGAATTCTTTTCTGATTAAAACAAAAGTCGAACTTACCAATTGTGTGTATTTAGTATGATGTTACAGTCATGTTGTTTATGAACGAGTCACATGGAAATGTCCCTAAAACAAGCTTTTGGACTACCCTGTACCCTTAACTTCGAAATATCGAAAAATCCCTCCGGAGCATTAAATAATTAGTTACATGCATATTTGCGAATACGTATCAATCTTTAAAATTTGTTTTTTGAACAATGTGATGGCTGACCTATTTACACGTGAAAATATAGTGCATTGCTTCAAGATATATATAGTTCTGAATATGGAAGCACTACGTTTAGGAAAATTCAGTAGTGCCGGCGGTCTTGTCTTATAAGAAACGCTGGACTTATTGAAAGTTTAACTACTGGTTTAGATATTTTTATCAGAAAATGTAGTCTACGCAGAAAGTCGCATTAAAGAAAGCAAGTTCTAAAATGTGCGAATGTGTTTCGTCTCAGAAAAATTTAATCCGCTGGTTTTACCATGTGGTCGAATTGAAAAAGCCCTGCACTGGCAAATCAAGGTGCCTTCAAGAAAGCTTAAACTCATAAGCTAAACCGAGTGAATCTTCCGATATTCTATATATATATATATTGTTTCATATCCTAGTGCTTAACAGTTGTATATAGGTAACTTAAAGACAACTTACCTACTTAATTCTTGAGAAACCTACTTAAAGAAGATAATCGTTACTGTTTTCGAGCTAGTTTAATAAAAGCCCTAGTTTGTCTAC